GCCAAGGAAACAAATAGAAAATTCTGCACTCGATCTTAGCCAAAAGGCCAAGAAGCAATACAAATAGATAATTCTGGAGCCCAGACGAGTAGAACATTTTGTAAGGCTCCTGACCCTGTCCCCAGAACCCACATGGGAGATGCAGAAAAATGTTGAAAAGTGTCATCATTTCTGTAGCAAGACCACAAAACTAAACTACACTGAAACTCAGTTTCAGAAAAAATGCACTGCTTTGTTCTTACTCTTGAGATTCCACTTGAGCTCCCAAAATGCTGTAAATGTCCAATCACACTTAAACCATATTTTAATCCAATAATTCAAAGGGTCTCTGTATCTATCAGGGTTTTAATGCATAAAACAGAACCCATTCTAGGTATGTTAAGCAGAAATCAGATACTTACAAAATTCCCAGTCTGGCTGGGACTGGGCGTCTGCAAGGCTCCCCCTGGTGCCATTGAATCCAACAGCGCACCAACATAGCTGCAATCCAGAGACTGAGACAGTGGCTACCACCACCACTGCTGATCCTGCCGCCCTTACCACTAACACAACTGCCTCTTCACACCCACAAAGTTGCTGGTACCCAAATTGCCCTGCCGCTGCCGTGATTGCCTCTTAACACGGTGTCTCTGTTTTAGACATACCAGCAGGAAAATGATCTCTACCTCTCTTCTAGCAGCGAAAATATCTGTGAGTGCACCCCATCCTGGCCGTGAAGGAGATGAGAGATGTTATTGTAAGCTTTTCAGTCTCTGCTTTCCAGGAACACACCAATGAAGGGGGAATTGAATGGAGGTTGAGCAAGTCAATCTACAGTATCCACCACAGGTCCATTGCAGCTCTACAACACAATGGCCATGTTCCTCGTGATCTACCCCTTCAGTGACTCAATCAGTACCCATTAGGATTACCCTCTCAACTTTATTTAGCCTCAGGCAACATTGAGTCTGGATTCAGTCAACAATCTGGCAAACTACTGCTTGAGCTAGCACACTGAATCCAGAAACCTGTATTAATGAGCTTAGCCCAATCCAAGTTATAGTCTCTCCTCCTGGTCTAGCACGCTCAGAAATTGTTCCTGCACAATTTCCTTGGGTTTCTGTTTATCTAAAAGAGCAAAATCTTTTGGTATGTCAATCTTCACTTTCTAAGTCCAACTTGTCCTTGGCTTCTGGGATGTGCTTATAATAGGCTGGGGGTCAAAGAAGAATGCTTAAAGTGTGGGGTCTGGAGAGACTTCATAAGTTATTCACCTCAAGTAAAGTAACTCACATGTCTCCCACAAACTACAGCCAACCTCATGGGACAGGGGAAGGGAGCTACTTCTGCTGAAGGAGAGGTTGCATGGGCTAAGGATTTAGAGTATTCAAATTCAACTCAACACATTCAAATGTCCCATCACAGTTCACAGGGTCTCCTTCCAAACCAGTGTCCCCATGTTCACTTAAAAGAAATAACTACACATGAATTAGGTTTATACTATAAACCTGGTAACCCATTGGATCAGATTCTATCTGATTTGAGGTTACATCAACTCTGAGACCACAAGAGATAAAAGATTATCTTAGAGTGGTCATGGAAGCTCCCTGGTTCTCTGAACTTTTTCGAACTGGTAATGTTAAACCCCGGGCATATCATTTCCTTGCTTTAATCTCTCCAGGATATCTCCATAGCTATCTTATTCCATAACCCTTGAAATTCCTCATTTTCATTCTAATGATTTATCATAACAACCACTTTGCCAGAGTGCAGCCTTCTAAGAGGCGTGTCATAAGGAAGCCATAAATGATCATTTAAGTAACTCCTTTGTCACAGTGTGCCATAACCTTTGAGCATCCTATTTCCTGATAGTAACAGTATTGCCATTATCTTCAAAACCAACCAGGTCAGATCATCAATCCAATGTTTCCATCCTTGAGAGTCTTTATCCACAATCTCTTCTGGGAGAAGGAAACAGAAACCACTCCAGATTGGGGTCTGGGGAGGAGCCCTTAAGAGAAAAGAGATTTCATACAAAGAAGAAGGTGTTTATAGAATCATTGTACAGGCTATAGAAGCAGGAGTTAAGAGTGGGGACAAATCACCACATGCAAGCTCAAGATCGAGAAGCATCTGCTACTGTTGCCGCTGGTCACTAGTACTGCTAATCATCTCTTTACCTGTGAAACTGAACCGTGAGGCAGGCTACAGTAACTGCCCCAACTCGCGCTGGAGACCCACAAGACGGGTATCTACAAACGTCCAGTCTCACTTGCGTGCATCCAAACGGTAGAAACATATCTATAACAAGAACCCTAGCTGCTCGAGGTCTGGAAAACATAGATTTGAGTTACCAACTTCTAAAGAACACGAAAGCATTCTAAACCCAGTATAGAACAGAGGAGGAGCAAACTGCACAAAATCCACCATGGTTTCAATAACTTGTAGTCTCTGGCTGTACAAGTTCAGTCTCTCCAATTTCCTCCTCTTCTTCCTGTTTCTCTGCCCGAGAAGTTATCCTCATGATGTCAAAGGCTGGGGAGGCACCTTGAACTGGTTCCTGGGTATTCGATGGCTGGTATTTGCTATTTCTAGGATGTTGTTCCTGGCCACCTAGTTACTGGTGCCCAGCTGGGGTCTCCTGCTGAATGGCTTTAACCTCAGGCAATAATGGCCAGCGCGGGGCCTCCAGACGACTCTATTTGTGCCGCAGCACAGCCTGGTGACATCGGCCCCAAACACCATCAAGTTTCTGGAACTGGGGCGTGCACCCTGTGGCGACAATGGCCCAGAGCTGTGCACCGTGGAGTTTGTGGACAGGCCAGTTCCCAGTGCCACCCTGACCCCCAGTCATCCCCCTCCAGACCTGCCTAATCAACACTGGGGACTGGACTATGTCTGAGGGCTAACCACTTTGATCCTTTGGTGTTTCAGCCTTACACATATCTCACATATCCCCCCGGGTAATGCCAACATTCACTGGGAAGTTCGATTGGAAAATAGATTTAGCATGTGCATTTCTCCGGAGGTTTCCGGGCAGCCTCGTGGTGCCCAACCCTCCACAGGCGAGGGCCCGCCCCGAATGCGTGACGAGCGCGGTAGCACAGGAAGGCACGATGCGTCTGCCTGGTTGGAATGAAAGCTTTAAAGGTGTTCCTGATTTTTATTTTGGAGGAATCATGTTGTCTTTTGTGAAATAAAATTTGTATTCAAATGAAAAGTAAAAATAAAAATAACGGTTTTACCAACGCGGTTGGTAAACTTGAGGGCCATCCATCACTTATCTCCCTCTGAATTGAGGTCACATTCTATTACTTTGCTACCTTTATTTTGAAGTCTTCTGTAACAGACAAGTTTTAAAACTAATGAAGCATGCTAAAAGAAGGAGAATATTTTAAATACAATGTTTAAATAATCTCTTCTTTTCATGAGATTTCTTTACAAAAGGAAGTCAATTTTACGAGTATAAATAGCATCTATGTTACTATACCTTTCCTTTTCCAAAGATGATCTTCATGGAGGAGTTAATGAGTGTGGAAAAATAAAAAAATAACCTGGAGAAGGGGGGAAATCGTATGAATTATATTTCTTCAGATATGAGCATATTCCCAGAAATTTAACCTTTCAGTTTCAGGCAGTTTGATAGATTGTGGGGACCATTCATCAATCCAGAGAATTTAGGAGGAGTAACAAGATTATATGGAAAAATATAATGAATTGCATCTTAGAAATGTTGAATTTGAGATGTTGTAGTAAACCGAGGAACCATGGTTCAAGACATGGATCGAGACCATGTCACCAAATCTACGCAACTGTACAAAGTTGTAATATCTGGATTTAAGTCTCAGATTTGAATTACACATCCATGGCAGAAATAATTTATAAAGTCAATGCTAGATTTGGGGCACCTGGGTGGCTCAGTCAGTTAAGTGTCTTCCTTCAGCTCAGGTCATGATTCTGGGGTACTGGGATTGAGCCCCAAGTCAGGCTCTCTGCTCAGCGGGGAGCCTGCTTCTCCCTCTCCTCCCCACTCCTGCTCTCTCTATCTCTGTCACTCTTTCTCAAATAAATAAGTGAAATCTTTAAAAAAAAAAATCAATGCTAGATTTAATACTAGTTTATAAAAACAAGATAAACTTTATAGTTTTTATCATCTGCTCATATGTTTATGCATCCTTAAAGAGTCCTGGCAACATTCTGAAAAATTTTAGAACCTCTGGAAAGGATCACATTCAAACTCCCCCAGTAGGGTAAAGGCTTGTACCATCTGCAAAGATCTCCAGAGAAGTTGTGCCTACACCCCCATTCATAGTCCATTCTATCACATGATTGGCTTCATTGTCTCTTATGTTTAAAAATAACTAAGGTCATAAGTAATTTTGAGAAAAAAAAAATATTTTCTTTTTTTCTCCCCAAAGAAAGACATTTACTATTCTTGTGGGTTTTTTAAAATTATACAGGAGTTGAATATCAAAATCAGAAAATATAGATGAGAAAATATGGTAAGCATTCAGAAGAGAACTCCTCTTAAAACCATCCATGTGACACCATAGTGCCCTTTTAAAAAGAAAAAAAAAAATGGAATGCAATCATGCTGGGCATGTTATTTTTTTCTTCTTTTCTTTAACAATCGTGACTGTCTATCCATGTCGACACACCTCCAACATCAGTTTAAATGATAGAAGAAGACTGAGGGAATCATAATTAATACGCTAGGAACAGTGTGTTGTATTTCAATACTTAAGAAAGTACTGTTTCTTTAAATGTGGTTCAAACACTACTTGCTGAAGAATCACCTACAGTGCCCATAATGGAGACTTGGGGACCCATCTGGACCTATAAAATCAGGACCTCTAGGTGGGGGACCCAGAAATTTGCATTTGTCAATAAGCTCCCAGATGATGTTTATCTCACTAGGTCTGAGAATCTCTTGTTTCTTTGAAAGGGAAGAACTGTTTTCCCCAACACATCAGAATATTTCTGTTTTCTTGAAATTTTCTGCTCTCTGATTTTTATTTTAGGAGACAACAATGGATGGCCTTTGCAATTTGACAAGTATTTCACCAATTACTACAGAATGACTTCCCCATATCCCTTTGAGACACGAACATCTAAATGCTGTAAGTAATCAGAAGGATTGAGTCTCCTTTTCCATGAGTTCATAAAAAGATACCATGTTTTTAAAAGTTGGATCCAACATATTTTTTTTAAATGGTAAACTATAGTTTTCTAACAGCAAACTCTATTAGACATGCAGCCTTAATTTGGGGATTTTATTTAAAAGTGACTCAGGGATCTTAAGTATAAAAGCAATATATCATGCCAGATATTGTGAACAAAATTAATGTCCATCAGTCAGGGTTGCTATCTTATGTCCCTTTTTCACCATCATTATAGACTCTGATACAAAAGAAATTGTAGAAACAGAAGAACAGAGAAGCTGTTCGCATTTTAATATTTGCAAGTGAAAAAGCTTCTGGGGTCTAAACTACTTTAGAACTGCAAAAAAGCCTCATTAATTATAACCTGCTATGCTTAGTCACATGCTGAAAACTTCCAAAAACACGGGAGGGGCTGTGGGAGGGTATAACCTCAGGACTGACTGTGATATTTTAGAACAGGAAGATCTCATAAACAACTCCTTTTAAAGAAATTTTGTTTATTCTAATAAATTATGCAAATGTAAATTTGTGCCTAGGAGTTATAATTTGGTCCTTGGTTAGATAGTGGGGGGGAAGGAGGACCCTTTACAATAATTTTTCCTTTATGTTCTATCACAAATTGTGAAGTCCAGCTTTTTAAAAAAGGTTTAATATTTTTTTTGTCTTCAGTATTCAAATGAGATTAATAAAAAGCTACTAACAGTCCCCAATTTAAGGGTGCATACATCCAACCTGTAAACCCACAGGCTACTCAGCAATCTGTCTCAGCCTCACATTTTCTCACACAGACCAAATTATTTGATCCCTAAAACTTTTTGGGAAAGAAAAAAGGTAGCAGGTATAATTTACCTGCTGATATAATGCAAAAAAATTAATGGATTATGCCATGTTATCTCAAAACATAGTTATTATTTTTTTTGTTTTATTGGATAGCCTTTTATTTTCATTTCTTAAATTTTAATTGAATCTTTTTATATCTCCTTATTCCCAACTGGATTTTAGGCAATTTACAATAAAAAATATGGCTACTAACAGACTTAAGCCATTACTATAACATATAAGACAAAAAAATCAACAGTGAATGGGGAAAGGAATGGGAAGAAAAATTATATAAGGAAATCCTCACTGAGAAAAGTTCAATACCCGTGTCCAAAGCTTAGTTCTGAATTTTGTAGTCATCAAGCTAAAGAAGGAAGATAATGGGTTGCATAACTTTTATAGCCTGGCTTGTAAAGCAAAAACAAACAAATGGTGGGGAAAAATAGATCAAGTCAGCAAGAGAGATAACTTTTTGCCTAATCTTGAACTCTGGGAGAAATGTGTCCTAAGTGTAACTAATGGGAAGAATGGAGCTATACATTAAATGATATATCAAAAAAAAAAAATTTATCAGTTTTTGGTAAAGAACAAATATGTAATTTTCAATTAGAGTTCTTTAAAGACAGTTCAGGAAGGGTGGTAATAAAAAAGCAGTATAAAACAGAATGGAAAGTGTAGTGTAAAATTTGGGGGTGAAACTTAAAGTTCCTATTTTACCACTTTATTTAAATCAGATTATTATAAGGATTTATTGGAAATTAAACTAAGAATGGCTTATAATAATTTTTGGCTGGTTGAAAGAATGTGAGGAATTCACATTTATAAAGTCACCTCTCAGGAACAATATCATGGAAAATATATCTATCAACATAGTATTAGAGTTCAAATTTGAGGGATATGGAAAGTACAAAGATTTAGAAAGAATTGTTTGTTTACTCAACCATAATTTCACCACTCAGAGGCTACCAGCATTAACCTGCTGGCACATTATTCATCTTTTTTATTTTAACATTGTTGAAATTTCCTGTACAAACCATTTTTATCATATTTTCATTTAGCATTTTAGCATAATCAGGTATCCATGCTGTTACAAGCTCCTTTTGAATATACTATATAATATATTTTTAAGTGTCATAATGTGCTTAATCATTCTTTTGATGTTGGATATTTCGGTGTTATTTTTTTCATTTTTCCCTATTACAGGTAACCCTGTAATCAACATATATGAATTATCTTAACTCCATCAATATAAATGGAAAAAACATGCTGGAAGTAATGCTAATTTCACTCCTTCCATTTTTACCCTTCCTAGTTTCACTCTCAAAACCTCCACCCTCTTTCCCAACCCACATTCTTCCCAACCCACAACACTCATGTTGGATGTGGCTTATAACTTGGAGACAAAATCAGTTTTCAGCTTCTGAGATCCACAGCCAAAATGGTTACTTACAACCATAAAACTGTTTAAAAGTCCTTGGCGGAGACTCTGTTTACAGAAAACACAAAACCTAAGTTATGATTTTGATCTCTTATAACCCTGTAAAATAGGCGGTAGAGTTATTTGGGAGGAGAGGAAGAACACCTGTCATCCCATAGCTGAGCAAAGGGATATTTACTAGGTCAAAGTCTCCTATTTACTAGCCAACTGTGCTCATTAACAATCATCCACTAGCTTTGTCATAGAAATCTCTACTTTGCCATTAAGACACTTTTCTGCTCTCTGGAAGCTTTACTGTAAAAGATCAAAAACTGGAAGCCTACAAGCAGAAAATTCTCATAGAAAGTTTTGTTTGTTCTGTGATGTTTTAAAATATTTTGAGTTGGCTATCCTCATTTTTTAAATAGGTAATTATCTATACAACATTGTATTTCTGGCTTCTTATGAGAAAGTTGTTGACTTGGCTACATGTATTCCTGTCCTAACATGACAACAGGAGAAGCTGGTCCACTGGGACATCTGGACAAGGCCTACACCTATTTCACCAGTCCCCTGCAGACATGAGTCTGTAACCTCTGCTCTACGGGTTAGGGTTTCAAAGTAAATGTAGAGGGGAAGCACTCCTCATGGTTCTCGTTAATCAATCATTCCCCACATAGGCAGGAATCAGACTCTATTATACTGACTAACAATCCTATTCTACTATTGAGCTAGATGAACACATCACTGCAAGTCTCTAGTAGACTTTAGAACTATGGGATCACATCTTTAAGACTATGACTGCAGTCCCACAAGATGGCCAAAGTCATACATCCAATTCTCCCTCTTCCTGACACTAGCAGGGAGAATAGAATGGCTGGCTATGCATAAAAAAAGTTCACTCCCACAAATGACATTTTAGACATCCTTACATCCCTACATAAGCCAAAAGAAGATCATTTAAAAATAATCCTTTAAAGAACTCCTGAATTTTCCAGAAGAAAAAAAAAAAAGAATTCTACCAACACTATAAGTTCATGTTTAGTTCTCTTTCTCACTAGTTAAAAATGACTTAGTCTTCCATTAAGGGTTTGATTATGCTATTAATAAATACTTTATTCTTAAGTAGCAGCTTTAATATGGACATTAAAGCCCATCACACACTATCATGTCACCCCTGGACATAACCACTCTCCTCGGGTGAGTAAAAGCAGATGACTTCATTCATTTTGCAGTAAATAGAGAAGAGCAGTCAGCTATTTACAGAAATGCATGGGCTGGTAAATGTGTCTGTTTTCTTATCTTAATGTTGTAGCATCATTTTAACATTAAATTAAAAGCAAACTTTGTAACCTTAATTTAAAGCATTGCCCATATTGCTTAGGTAAAACACTTTTGTACTAAATAATTTTCTCATAGCTTTTCATTTCTTTCTTTTCATTACCCTCCTCTTCCTGGTCCCTCACTATCCCCATTCCTTACAACTTCCTCCTTATTCAGTGGTCGGTTCTGTGCCCATGCAATGTCTTTGCCGAGGTTTAGAGGTTGACTGTGATGAGACCAATTTACGAGCTGTTCCATCAGTTTCTTCAAATGTGACTGTAATGTAAGTAGAAAAGAATGGCTTCATCCTGACAGCCAGAATAGCACCTGTAAAATTGTATCATAATTAAGGCCTTGTCATTATTAATGCATTTTTATTCAAAGATGATGTCATTGCTCTCGGTCAATTATAATGATTGCTGCTATTTATTTTACATTTATTAAATGTTAGGCCCCACTCTAAATTATTCTATATATTAATTTATTTAGTCCTTCATAATAAACCTATGGAGTATTTAGATATGTAACTTATTTAGACCTTCATAATAATCCTATTTAGTATTTAGTATCATATTTTATCTAAACAAAAGATGTCATCATTTATGTGCTACTAAAGAAAAAAGACTGCCATTTAAACTATTATATAGAGTTTTCTTATTACAAGAACTGACATTTATTGAAAGCTCTTTTAGACTTTGTTGGAAACACTCTTATCTATGAATAAAAAAAGAAAACAAGTGAAATAAATTGGATAACATATTCATTTTTATGAATTCATATTTAAAATCTAACTCTTCTGAATCACATTTGGCACAGAGATGTTGATGTTGTTTTTTTCCCCCCACGAGTAACTCAAACTTATGTATGTAGAAGAAAATTATCCTCATAATAAGTGGTTTGTTGATCCAGTACTAATTTGAATTCAGCAAACTTTAGCAACACAGTCACACACATTTGTTTGAAACTTTTCAAAAGAAATAAGGGGAGGGTAGATACTTTAATCCAATGTTTTTGCTGAGTTTTTTGTTTCATCCAGATGTTTTAGTGCTGTATGGCTCTGACTTTTGAATATATGAAGACAAAATAGGAGTAATTCTTAAGTTTACAAATAAGTCCTGCCTTTGCCAACCCAAACCACATAACAGAGCAGCTCATATGCTTGAACTATAAGAGGCAGAGAGAGCTAGAGCTCAGAGTTCCTGTAGACAATGGTGGCATTAAATTAACAAAATCTGGGTGGGTTTACTCAACTGAGTAAGTAAGACCGAAAGAACTTATCCAAATTGGCAATGAGCTAAGAACATCAAGCAGGTTAAACCACAAAGACTTGTTTTCCAAAGGAGGTGACAGTCCCACCCGGACTAAGGCTAGCATTCTATCCTATCCTCAAGTCACCAGAGCTCTTTTTCATAGTGATTAGTCTTACTAGAAAACAATAATAATATTTTACTAGAATAAAAAAATAATCTGAGGTTCTGTGGAGAGTTTCCATGATTTAAATCATGACTTGACCTGCTTGGTATAAAACTTGAGATGATTTCATTCTATTTTCAAAGAGAAACATTTATCACCCCCACTGTTTGTATCAAATTATCAGAAAATTAGTCAAAGAATACCCTGATGCTGCCAATCTCATTTTTCACTTTCCTAAAAGTAAGAATTGAATCCGTTCTTCTACAACTTAGCCAAACTTTGCATAAGAAAGGAAGAGAGGAACAGAACTGGAGGGATGGAAGAAGATAGGCAATACTAACCAGAAGGTGCATGCCCCGAAAGAATACCCAAAGGTATTCGGATTCAAATTAAAGTAAAAAACTGTTCTGGCTCAGTACATTCATACATACATTCATACAGCCATTAGTACAACCATTCGTACATATATTTATAAAGAAGTGCGTGCACTCCTGTGAGCCACCAGTTTTCAAGCCTTGGTATAGAAACTGGGATGGGACAGCTCCTCGTGAAGATGGGCTATAGGAGAGCAAGAGAGAAGGAAGGGTCCAAGATGACTTCAGAGTTTCCATCCTGAGTAATAGAGTGGTGGGAGAATGAGGAGACTGGGTGACAGTAAGTGGGAAAGATTAGGACTCCAATTTTAGATGCCTTTTTCAACTTGAAGTTAACAGGTCAGTCAGTAGAAATTCTCAACAGGAATTTGGAGATGGAGAAATAAAGCTCAGGAGTTTGTGTCTGTAACACTTTATTAAAAAAAAAATAGTAATTTCTTGTGCTTTGGGCTGAGCAGCTTGATTCAGGTTGTCCATTTCTACTTTACTCTGCAGAACTCCGACTCAACATCACACCTCGCCCCAGTCTTCGTTCAATTCCATAGAGAAAAGGAACTGTGGGCTTTACAGCAAATACATTAGAAGAGTAAATATCAAATTTGATTACTGAGCTCGTTGCATATTTTGAATTGGAACTCTCATAGGGAAATGTCAGAAATGGACTAAATCATATATAAGTATCAAAGAAACCAATAATCCAAGTAATATGTATTGAAGTTGGGATTTTTAAGACATTTCACATAAACGCAATTGAACAAAAGAGACAAACAAATAAATATGATTATTTATGCATTGTTCTGGCTTCCTAAACATTAGTTTTGACTGTGTGAGGGCTGACTATAAGATCCTAGAATTCAATCACTAAACTACATAATCTGATTGTAAGAACTTTATCAAAACTGTGGCTAGCTTTGACAATAATAATTAAACTAGGTTAGTTTCTCTCTTTCGCATACACACACCACTTTGTAAAGAGTCAGACTTGGAATATTACACTTTAAAACACAAGAATTTATCATATTAAAAAGTTTTTTGGTTGTCCTATTCAGTGAGAATAATACCACCTACCTTTTTCCATTTCAACAGGGTATTATGAAAATATGGAGAATGCTATTTGTTAAAATATTTGACATCATTTGGAAAGAAGTAGCCTATAAATCCTAGGCACTATCAATAAAAAAACCAACTTTCTCAGAAACATTACTTAGGAATCCTTAAATGAGCTTTCCTTCCCTCCAGAGTAACCTTCCCACTCAGGTGCAATTAGCCTCTTCCTCTTGGATTCTCTCATAGAACCCCACCTGTGTCTCTTTGAAGCACATCAAACATTCTTCCTTGCGCTATAGTGATTAGGGTCCTAATCTTCTCTACCAGAAAAAGGGAAGTGCCATAAGCTCAATGGGGACCTACAACTTGGCTTTTCTATATATCCTCCAAAGTTCCTAATGGAATATAATAAGCTCTAAACAGTGTTTTTTAATTGAAGTCAAAAGAAAATAAATAAAATAAAAATAAAACAAGATGATGGCCTTTTTAGCCCTGGGCTATAAAACTGAAGTCATGGTCCAAAGAAAACTCTCTATTTATAGACAAAATATGTTCTTTGTCACCCAAATAGAGTATAAGCTTCTTAAGAGCAGTGACATTATCCTTTTCTTCCAAAGTGCAAATGGAATTCAACATATGTTGAGAAAATGAATGAGTGAACGAATGAACACATTTTTGAAAACACACTAAGCTTAATCCATATTTTTAAATCAAACTCAAATATTCAACTGTTCATTTTTATACAACACAAACATGTAGTACATGATGTAAAGCAGAATTGAAGATCCAAGCCAAGGAAGAATGATTAGTAGAACAGGAATTCTCAATTAGCTAACATAAGGAATGAAAGAACATTTAGTGATCGCCTGGCAGCTAAGAAAGATTTCAAGAGAGAGTTCGTAGTTAATCAGCCTTTGGCATTCATTCATTAAAAACCACTAAGTGACTGCTATGTATAGTCCAGAACAGTGTTTCTTAAATTTTTTTTCTTTTCATTACTGCCCCCCCAAGCCCTTTTAGACATTTTTTCCTATTTGTCCCCTCCTGTGAAATTTTAATAGAACACATATACTGTATCTCTGTTTATGTATACCTGTTCTTCATCCATTTAAAAAGGTAAGATGTTTTTTCCCTCCTTAAGAACCGGTTTTCACACCTCGGAGCAATAACATACCCATTGAGAATACATGGTCTCCTAAACCCTAGAAGAGCATTTCTCAAATTAGATTCCAAAACTGTGTCCTGAGGAGTCTGAGAAACTATTTTGCCTTAAGAAGTCTTCATTTGATTATCAAGTTTAAGCAACACTGGTCCAAACCAACATAACAACTAACACTGGTAATGCCTACTGTATGATGTTGTCATAACCTGAGTCCTTTTTGCCTATCAAGCATCTCCAAAGGTTTATCCCACAGCGGACAACCTGCACACAATGCAGTCTATTGTTCACTTAACAAGGAGCATCTGCTCCATCGTATTATATAAAGACAGTAACAACTGCCTTATATTATTACAGGTCATTTAGTACAAATAGATGCTTTCACAGTTAAAGAGACTGACAAGGAAAGATTATGTATGGTTCATGCAAGAGACTCCAACTGCAATGGTTTGGGTGTTGTTCTGTTTGGTTTGGTTTTTTGCTTCTTTAATTTTTTTTTCCTACTACCTCACATTGCTTTTCTTTAAAAAATTAAAGGTTTAAATCCTTCCCAGTACAACCACAATTATGTGGACCTGGTTTGCGGCAAGCTACATATCAAATTGTGATTCAAGTGAATCTATACAATTTACTAGAAATTGAAATGAAATCACATTGAATAAAGACGGTTCAGTTGTACTTACCATTTGACAGTTGCCTTCATAAAAAATTTTAAAAGGAAGTAAAGGTAGTGGGATGTGAGCAATGCAATACTGAAGAATATAAAATTACTTAAGTTCTTGAATGTGCTTTAAACAGAACACACTGTTTTTATTGCCACTTCAAAAACGAGATGCTTTCTAGTGTCTGTTAAATAAAAAGAGGAAAGGAAAATGTAACTGACAACTGTTTTCCCAGTTTCATTACTTTTGTGTTTTGTTAGAATGACAATGTTGTAACCTAAATTTAAGAAAAGATAAATATCTGTAATAATACAAAACTAACAGTTAGACCTAGTTCAAATGGTACTATGGATACGAGAGTAACATCATGAAATAAAATGTTTCCTGAAGGCTGGTGCTAAAGTAAATGAAGCTTGTAATTATTTATACTGTTGTAGTATAAAAGTAAAGAAAAAAACACTTTAAGAACCACAACTTACATTTATTTCAGGTCACTTCAGTGGAACTTAATAAGAAAGCTTCCTCCTGATGGCTTCAAGAAGTACCATAATCTTCAGAAGCTGTAAGAAAATATTTAATTCCCAGTGTTAAAATTAACTCACATTGTTTTGGCCTATCTCTTCCCACTTCTGCACGGACCAGCACTACACCACTGTTTAAGTCTAATGCCTCCTCAGGAAATTATTTAGCTGTTAGCTAGAGACTACCAGGCAACTCGTTTTTTTGAGGAGTTCTAGAAGCCATTCTAGAAAAATTACAGATACTTATTTCCAAAAAAACTGGAGCACGTAAGTTTTGAGTTCTCCTGCCACACGCTAGCCTGTGAAGAATTTTCTTCCACGTTTGCAAATTCAGTCTCCAGCTAAGAGAGCAAGTTGTGGTGGTTTGAAACCCCAGAGCATGTTGTTTGGGGGACTTAATTCCATTTTCGTATCTGCCGTGCAGGTTGCTTTATTTTCGCCTCAAGTAGTATCTGACATGCTAGGTTCCCATCAGTTCAGCATTTTCATGTATACTCCAAAAATCCATAATGGCCCGGGGTATGTTTACCTGTTATTTAGTGCAACTCTGTGACTAAATCATATCATACTTGAACTGTTGGGTTTAAATATCCTGTGCCTGAATCATGCTAACTAGAAAACATCCCAGAATTCCTAGTTTCATTTTCATACTATGTCGGTTTTAGTTCTGGTTTTACACTGAAGAAACCTCACACCTAGATCTATATCTATCTGTACATTCTTCTTTAAGAAAACAAATAGAAATAGAGCAAAATCAGAAGAAAAATTAATCTACTTCATCCAATGAAATGTACTCAAAACCCAGATAATCTGCAAAAAAGTATGTTTCATATTAAAAAAATAAAAATTTCAATAAAAATGACTTTCAAAACTTTATTCTGGATGTTTAACAGTCAGCAGAGAAGAGCTTTTCAAAATTAGGCCTTATGTAAAAACTTCAAGAGGATGCTTCGGTATTCTATTTTCTGGTTTTTGGAGACTGAAGAATTTTTTGGATCTGTAGCACCACCTTATGTCCACATGTCTAAAAGGCGTTAATACTCCCAATTTAAATATCAAAATTCAGGTTTATATAACACAGTAGTTTAGTATTTTTACACAATAAACATTGAACTAATTTTTTAAAGATTTTCTTTTTAAGTAATCTCTACACCCAAAGTGGGGCTCACACCCACAACCCCGAGATCAAGAGTCATGTGCTCTACTGACTGAGCCAGCTGGGTGCCCCAAATTACTTCTTGAACAGCCAGTTTGTTTTAACTGGTAGATCAAAATAGCCTAATTACAAAAAAAATTCTACCTGATTATTAGAGATATAGCTTTGCTCAACCTCCATGCAATACAGTCTATTAATCACTGATCATTAAAATACTTAGAAACAAATAAACACATGCTAAAGCTTCTCTGTGTATTAGTGAAAAAGATGCATTCCCTATTATGTAACTGGAACCACGGCATGTTCTGTGAAATTGTTAAAAGCATAATAAATTTAATAATAACATTTTTACAATCAAAGTTAGGTTTTCTTGCATGTTCGAGAAATAGGGAACCCCTTTTAGTCAAAATTTCTAATTAACTAAGAATTCGTTCATACTGAGGGTGCCTGGGTGGCTCAGTTGGTTAAGTGTCCAACTCTTTTTTTTTTTTAAGATTTTATTTATTTATTTGAGAGAGAGAACATGAGAGGGGGGAGGGTCAGAGGCAGAAGTAGATTCCTGATGCGGGGGCTTGATTCTGGGACTCCGGAATCATGACCTGAGCTGAAGGCAGACGCTTAACCAACTGAGCCAACTCAGGCATCCCGTGTCCGACTCTTGATTTTGGCTCAAGTCATGATCTCAGGGTTGTGAGATCGAGCCCGAGTGGGCTCTGTGCTCAGCAGGGCGTCTGCTGGAGATTCTCTCTCCCTCTGCTTCTGCCCCCCCCACCCCACACTCGCTCTCTCTCTCTCTCAAATAAATAAATCTTTTTTAAAAAAAAATGTGTTCATATTGGTTTCTTCCTTATTGCTCCTAATATTTATAAATATATACATATATATATACATATATATAAACTTCAGAACGCCCTAAAGGACAATGATGACCTGTATTCAGAACAAGAAGTCAGGCTCAAAGCCCTTACTTTGTCATTTCTTACAACCTGGGGCCAGTACACGCAGAGGTACAAAACTTTGCAAGGGTGCCTTTGATGCATTTGCTTGCGCTCTGGTACCTATTTCCTTTGACCTCCAGTTAACCCAAGGCCAATCATCCTGGATGACTAGTTAACTATTTAAGACTGCATTCTTGTCTTGACGTGCCAGTCTAATTTATATTCTTCTAGTCCTGAGTCTTTTTACTTCATTTTTTTCTTTTGCCATAAATACTCCTTATAAGCTTCCTCAAACACTTTTTGGAGCAAGGCTTGGGGTGTCAAATTAATGAAATTAAAGCTGACTTGTTGGGCAGATTTGTGATTAACATAGAATATGATCCAAGGCCTTAAAGATATCACATACTTGTACTTTTGCCAGATCTTTGCTAAATGCCGATCTTCCTATTATAGCAGGAAATGTTAAAAAGTCGGACTTCTGGGCCTGTTTGATAATTGAGTGCCTTACTGTGCATTAAATTTTTACTTATAGAAAATTCAAATATTAAATTTTAACTATTACATGTTCATCTTTATAACTAGAATTTCTAAATAAAACTTGCCTAGTCATACCCGAACTTAATAGCAAAACAAAATGACATGATATCTAGTTTCCCTAACTTATTGTGCTATGCTTACCTTTTTTTAATTAAAAAAATGTTTATTGCGCTAAAATACATAGGATGTAAAATGTACCATCTTAACCAATTACAAGGTACATTCAGAGCCATTAAATACATTCCTATTGTGTTACAGGCACCACCACCCATCCAAAGAGCTCTTTACATCTTGCAAAACTGAAACTCTGTTTCATTATGATTTTTTTTATAATTCTCTCCACAGGTGCCTGCAAAACAATAAGATTAGATCCATATCCATCTATGCGTTCAGAGGACTCTACAGTCTTACTAAACTGTAAGTACCCGTGCCAATTACTTTGCCCATTCCACAGTTTGTCCATTGCACACAGCCCTCCTGCCCACATCCGCAGAAGGGTCAGCACAGCCCTGTGCCCTTGGGGTTCCGACTCAGACAAGCTTCTGTGTGAGTCCTGAATTCAACAGCCCTTATTTCTTCACATCTTCATCAATACTTCTTCTTTTCTGGGGGTTTGCTGTTTGGGGATTTTTTTTTTCTAAAACAGCCATCCTAATGGGTATGAAGTAATATTTCATTGTAGTTAGCAAAGCTTTTTAAAATCGGCTTTCTCAAAGTTCCATTTCACTGAGTTTTACTAAGCAGCTGAACCTAACCTCCTGTAAGAAGTAATGGCATGGAAGTATAACCAAAACTCGCATAAATCAACAACTCCCTATATTTCTATTCCTGCCCCCCTTGCTTTCTATCTTATACCACTTTTTTTTAATCCTAATCCAAGAAAGTCACTCCAGTCAGATTCCTAGTTTGTGGCATGAGGGTTTGGGATTGAGGAAAGGCTGTCTAATCATTTCACTAGCAAAATGGAAGAAGGGCCCTGGAGACTCAATGTCTTAAGAGTAGCCACTTTTGTCAAGTCCTCTTCCCTTCTATCCCATCCCTGCTCTTTCCTGTCTTGGCAAATCACCCAAAGTCGATATTGGATTCATTCCCATTAGACTCCTGACTATCTTTCTCTCTAATCCCCCATGAATCTGTTCAAAACTTCTGCTTGGTTTAATGTTCAATGGATGTGAAAGATAGTCCAGATTTGGTATAAAGTTCAACAGATGTGAAGAATAGTACCACAAATTTTAAAGGGTCCTCCATCTCCTTCCATGGTTACTCATAGCACTGGAATATTGTTTGGTTGTTAAAGATGTTACATACTTCCAGGTTATCAGCGATAATCATTGGATTCCTGCTTTTCATTCTTCCATAAATATTCATTAGCCCTTATAGTATGTAATTTTTCAGCTAGACACCATGGGGAGGTGGGATAGAAAGATAAGTCAGACAGGCTGCCTTCCAGCAGCTTACACCCTAACGTCTCAGGTAAAGGGCTATGCTACCACTAGAGAGAGGCATGCCTCTTGCAGTCCAGAAGCTTACGATCTAGGGTGGGGAAACAAAACCAGTATGCACACAACAATTAAAGAATGATGAAAAGAAGTTCCTTAATTAAATCCTAAACCTTTGTTGTTCAGATCAAAACCGCTATTAAGATTCACTGAAAGGGGCGCCTGGGCAGCTCAGTCAGTTAAGCGTCCGACTCTTCATTTTGGCTCAGGTCATGATCTCAGGATCGTGGGATCGAGCCTGGCCTCATTGGACTCTTCACTCAGAGCGCAGTCTGCTTGAGATTCTCTCCCTTTCCCTATTCCCCTCTCCCTGCTTGTGCATGCACATGCTCTCTCTCACTCTCTTGCTCTCTAAAATAAATAAATAAAATAAATCTAAAAAAAAAAAGATTCACTGAAATGAGTGACCATTTGGGGTCTGGAGCAGTGAAGGATGACTCAGGAAAATAAACAGGACTGGGCTAAACAGATGGGTATAGGATATGGGAGTGGGTCAAATGTACCTAGGGGATTGCTATTGGCTTTAAAAGGAGACCTCTGAGGCACATGCACCCCAATATTTGTAGTATCACTGTCCACAATAGTCAAGATATGGCAAGAGCCCAAATGTCTATCAAACGATGCATGGATAAAGAAAATGTGTATATATATACAATAGATTATTACTCAGCCATCAAAAAGAATGGCATCTTGCCATTTGCAACAACATGGATGGAACTAGAGGGTATTATGCTGAGGGAAATAAGTCAGTCAGAGAAAGACAAATACCATATGATTTCACTCATATGTGGAATTTAAGAAACAAAACAGATGAACAGAGGAGAAGGGAAGGAAAAACAAAATAAGATAAAACCAGAGAGAGAGGCAAACTATAAGAGACTCTTAACTATAGGGAACTGAGGGTGGCTAGAGGGGAGGGGGTGGGAGGAGGGGTAAGTGGGTGATGGGCATTAAGGAGGGCACTTGTTGGGATGAGCACTGGGTGTTATATGCAAGTGATAAATCACTAAATTCTACTCCTGAAACTAGTACTACACTATATGTTAACTTGAATTTAAATAAAATCTTGAAAGAAAAAACAAGTAAACAAATAATGAATACATAAATATAAATAAATAAATAAATAAATAGAGAGCCCTGAGGTGGTCATGAGAAGTGTTGTAGTTATTCTTTACCCTTCCTGTGCCTAAATGGGGTTCCAGGTTTACAGGGGAGGGAAAGAAGTGGTTCTAATACGGGCCATCATCTCTTGCTATCCCTAAGCAAAAGTCAAACCTGCTGGAGACAGGGGAGACAGCCGGCAGGAGAAATTTTATAAGATGTCAACTCTAAAAACTGTCAGAATGGAGAAAAGAGAGAAATCAGTGTGGTCCATGTATCCGTGGAAGTAAAATTTCAACTAAAACTTGCATATGAATCATAGGCAGAGAGGAAAAAGAAAAGGAAAGAAATCAGAATTGTAGGCATGAACAGAGGTGCTCTTGTAATAAATATGTACTGAGTGCTTATGACACACATTGCCTCCAATGTTACCACAACCCAATAAAGCAGGTACTAATATTACCTCCATTTTAGAGTTGGGGAAACTGAAGCTTGCTTAGGGTCATACTGTTAATAAGCAGCAAAGCCAGGACTCAAGCTGACAGCAGAGTCAGGCAGCGCATTGCTGTCCTAAAGAGACTGAGGTAGGAATAAACACGGAGGGAGGGCGAGACCAACATAACAGAACAGAGTTGGTTCACTCTGCAGAAGGATAAGAAGTAAAGTTGGGTAGGTAAGGTGGGGTCAAACTCTTTGGTAAGGCATGCAATGTCCTCTTTTCCCAGAACAGACCCCCACCTGCCTCCCAGGTTCATCTTCAGTCTCTCTTCCCAGCCCCTTCATGGTGAGGCTGCACTGAAATGCCTGGTGATCCCTTCACTTGTTGCTCTCTCTCCGACCTCTTGCCTTTGCATAAGCAATCTCCTCTGCCTATGTGAACTCCTACCCATTCTTTGTTTTGCGAATGACATCTTCATCCAAATCTCCGTTCATCCAATTGTGCCCCCTTTAGTAAAGGCTTCTGTGTCCTGACTCCTCCATGCTCTGCTCTCCCCACCCCCAAGAAAGCCAAGTTCTCCGCTGCAACGTCAGAACAACCATACCTTATAAACTTCTCTCTTTTCCCCACGTTACTATAATAACTTGTTCATATTCTGTCTTCCCTCTAGACTCAAAGCTCCTCAGAGAAAGGGATGATAGTGCCACAGAGTAGGTGCACAAAACAATTTGATGAGTAAAGGCATAGGTGAATGAATGAATAGAGTGATTGATTGATTGACTGATTGATTAAAGGGGAACTAAAACCTAGACATAAAAAGGTACGTGACAAAGACGTTTTAGAGACCCAAAAGAAGGGAAAAGGTGTGATGAGAATAGCATATAAGAAAATCTAAGATGGATGATTCTTGTTTTTCCTTTCCTTATTGTAAGATACCAAGAAAGTAACACATTTGGGGCACCTTGCTGGCTCAGTCAGAAGAGCACGCGACTCTTGATCTCAGGATTGTGAGTTTGAGTCCCACGTTGGGTGTAGAGATTACTGAAAAATAAAATCTTTAAAAAATCAAGAAAAGGGCGCCCGGGTGGCTCAGTTGGTTAAGCGACTGCCTTCGGCTCAGGTCACGATCCTGGAGTCCCAGGATCGAGTCCCACGTCGGGCTCCCTGCTCAGCAGGGGGTCTGCTTCTCCCTCTGACCCTCCCCCCTCTCATGTGCTCTCTCTCCTTCTCTCTCTCAAATAAATAAATAAAATCTTAAAAAAAAAAATCAAGAAAAAAGAAGGTAACACATTTATTGGAGTCATTTCTCTTTTTTCAGGTATCTCAGTCATAACAGAATAACTTTCTTGAAGCCGGGTGTTTTTGAAGATCTCCACAGACTAGAATGGCTGTATGTTTAATTTACATGGCATTTTATAGTATTAGTTTTTATATTCTAAATATATAAATGAATCAATTTTTTCTTCTGGCTGGCAGGATAATTGAAGATAATCACCTCAGTCGAATTTCCCCACTAACATTTTATGGACTAAATTCTCTTATTCTCTTGTAAGTACTAAAAATTAAAGCAAATATTTCAATTGAAGGAAAAGACATGAAAAAAAATTACTGCTTTAAGTTTAACAGCATTAAATATGGAATTGTTAAAGCCCCAAAAAGGCCTTTCCAACTATAAGCCATCTTTTCATCATTTTCTGTGAGGCTATTTTGTAGTTTTAATGATTTTTATAAGATCTTCTGTCTTCTAGGACATCAGCCCATCAAAACTAAATACAGCCTTACTGGCATATTTTATTGAAATATTCTCAAGCACACCATTACTGCCGGGTATTATGCTTGGTAAAGAAAAACAACATTAATCAAAAATCAACTCCTTCTCACTACCCACTTTTGAAGGGCACAGGCTTTCTTTCAGTTACTAACATTGCTGCTTCCTCCATATGACAACTATCATTTGTCGAATTTTATTACTAACAAGCACTTAAATATAACAAGACTTACAGAAAAAAAAAAAAAAGAGAAGACAACTAACTTAATAGATTTTTGTGGTTTCATAAAGGATAATGATAATACCATGTTTGACTTAAGATGAGAAAAGAACCAGAAAAATGTGACTTCTTTTCTTTCGTTTCTTTTTCAGAACATTGATGAATAACGTCTTTACCCATTTACCAGATAAACCTCTTTGCCAGCACATGCCAAGACTGCATTGGCTGTAAGTTGATGAACCTTTTCTTAAAGATGTCAGCTAACTTTCCTGGTTTTGTCTCGTTCATTTTGGATATTGGGTTTTTAAAAATTATAAGTTGTCAATGTCATATCACATTTCCTCAAATTACTTTAGCATGGTTTTGTTATTAAACGTGCCCATTGTCTAAACTAACTCCTCTAGACTCTCGCCAAGATAAAACACCTCCCACATGCACAAAAAAAATTTGGAGGAGGAAGAAGAAAAACAGAAGGGATGTCCAGCAGCTATAGAACATTTCTTTCTTCCTTCCTTCTGTCGGTCTGTTTTCACCTATCAATTTGATACAGAAAGACTAAGTCACTTTAGTCTCATTCCTAAATTCTGCCTCATGGGAATATGATACTTAGAATTTATTTTTGAAGTCTAATCACAATAGAATATGTTTCATGGAAATGTTTACAGTAACTTTGCTTATGGTAATAAGTATCATTCTACCTATTCAGAGCTCAGTTACCCAGTAAATTTGCCTTTTTAAAATGCAGGTAAAAACAAATAAATAAGTAACCAAAATAACTATTTAAAAGTTCAATCAATAAACCACATATACAGTATTATATGAAAACTTCCGCTGTCTCTCATTCTGTAGGAAATTCTCAGGAGTTTTGTTTGTTGCTTGATTTCTAAGCTCACGGCAGAGTAGAAGAGCCCGATTAAAAGTAGAGGGGAAAAGGACACCTGGGTGACTCAGTCGTTAAGCATCTGCCTTTGGCTCAGGTCATGATCACAGGGTGCTGGGATTGAGTCCTGCATTGGGCTCCTTCCTCAGCAGGGAGCCTGCTTCTCCCTCTGCCTGCCGCTCACCCCTTGCTTGTGCTCTCTCTCTCTCTCTCTCTGACAAATAGACAAATAAAATCTTAAAAAAAAAAAGTAGAGGGGAAAGATAAGTTCAAAACATTAGTGTGAAGTGACAACTCTCAACCTGATAGTAAAGCAGGAGTGGGAAGTGCTATAAAAAGCAGACATCATAATTCAAAACACACTAGTTTGGAACTATTTAGAGGAAGACAAACATCCCCAGAATCATTACTGAGTCCAGAGGGCGTCTTGGTATGACAGCATAGTACCCCCCTTGTTGACAAGCTAAAGTATTCAAGAAAAGAGCTAATTAAGTTCAATATCCTTCGTTGTAATTAAATTTTTTTTCAAATGAACACATTAAACAGTTATTACATGCTCAGTAATCCAAACTTAGTAATAAAGCAAAATTGATTAATATTTACATAAGTAAATTAGCAATTAAAAATTCATGCGCTGAGACCAGAAGCAAATGTAGCAGATATTGTGCAATACATTAACAAGCATTTCCTTTGCTTTTTAAAAGGCAGCCAAATCTACATCTCAGATAAAACTCTATTTTTTTAAAGATTTTATTTATTTATTTGAGAGAGAGAGAGCACGCGTGTGCTGGGGGGGCAGGTCAGAGGGAGAAGCAGACTCCCCACTGAGCAGGGAGCCCCATACAGTGCTCGATCCCAGGACCCCAGGATCATGACTTGAGCCAAAGGCAGATGCTTAACCAACTGAGCCACCCAGGTGCCTTTAAATAATTAAGATTTATTACTAAAGGGGCACCTGGATGGCTCAATCAGTTAAGCTTCCAACTTTTTTTTTTTTAAGATTTATTGATTCAGAGAGAGAGAGCATGTGTGCAAGTGGGGGGAGGGGCAGTGAGAGAGGGAGAGAGGATCCCAAGCAGACTCCCCACTGAACTGTGAGCCCCATATGGGGCTTGATCCCACCACCATGAGATCACCACCTGAACCGAAATCAAGAGTCGGAGGCTTAATCAATTGAGTCACACAGGCAGCCCTGGTTAAGCGTCCAACTCTTGGTTTCACCTCAGGTCATGATCTCAGGATCTTGAGATCGAGCTCCACGTTGGGCTCCATGCTCCACGCAGGGTCTGCTTGAGATTCTCTCTCCTTCTCCCTCTCCCTCCCACTCTGTTCCTCCCCCTACTCCCACATGCCAGCTCTCTTTCTCTCTCACAATACAATAAATAAATAAATCTAAAAAAAAGATTTACTACTATAGAGGCAGACTTTTTACAATTTCATCACTAAAGTTACTATCTTTAAATTTTAACTATCCAAACAAGTCATCTCATATGCATTCCTGATAGTATTATCCCAATTTTAATGCTAGTAATAATAATTTTTGTTTTATAAATATTCAGTTCTTTTAAAACTAATCACAATACCTTTACCTTGAACATGAACTTTTATTTAGCAAAGTATAAACCGAAAAATCTGTTAGATGTGTTGGTAAAAAAAAAATTATTTAACTGATTTAGTGGGAAAATATGCATAAAATAAGAGACATATGACAGCCCAGGATAAAATGCTTGCGAGATATACGACAGACAACAGATTAAAACCTTTATTATAGTTCTTTCAAAGCAAAAAATAAAAACTGTAAACACCACAATAGAAGTTTGGAAATTCAAAAAGTTAGAAATATAAGTAATAAATAAGCCCATGAACAGATGGGGCAATAGCCAAAGGTGAACTAAAGATCAAGAGAGTAAATTAAACTTATTTTGATGGGAGATGAAGTAGGTTTATTTATAGGCAAGAGAAGCTAATATGAAGAATTTGAAATTATAGGAAACAACAAAATACATTATGGAGCAAGATGCTGGAAGACATGGACCCAGATGGAAAAATAAAATGCGATACACACACAGCATTTAGAATGAATGAACTAGCCCTACTTCAATCAACATGGCTCAGTTTCAAGAACGTAATATGAATTATAAAGAAAAAGTCACCAAAGAGTACATATATTACGATTCTGTTCCAACAAGACTATGCTTAGGCTATGGAAAGCCACAAAACAACATTGCTCCCTTGGCATGGATGAGAAGGAACTTTATCATCTACAAAATAATATTGAAAAAATAGACTTTAGAACAGGGACTATAACCAGGGATAAAGAGGGATATCACACAATGATAAAGGGGTCAATTCAGCAAGAAGACATAATAATCTTAGATGAGTAAACAGTTTCAAAATGAATAAAGTGATAACCATGGAACTATAAAGAAAAATATCCAGGAATCAAAATACATCACTTAAAACCAACAAATCTACCAATATGTAGATATTTGATATTCCTAAGGCAAACATTAATAAAAAGCATATAACTGATCAAAATCATATGGTGGGAGAAAAGTAAAGGAGCAGAAACGAAGACAACATATTCTCATTTTATCATTGCTTATAATACAAATTATAATAGGCAATTAATAAGTATTGTTATTCTCTAAGAAAGAGAAGATACGATGTATTAGGTAAAGTTATAATTATAAAGATAACCAATAGAATATACAAACCTTTCTAAAGATTAAAACAAAGTTTTTTTAATTTGTTGAGAGTTTTTTTAACCTATAAAAACCATGTGGTAATATTTTTAAATAGCAGACTGAAGTCAGATAAATTAGTCATATCAGTACACTTAAGCAGGTTTAACTTACTTATTAAAAAGAAAAGAGGGGGTGCCTGGGTGGCTCAGATGGTTAAGCGTCGGCCTTCAGCTCAGGTCATGATCCCAGGGTTCTGGGATCGAGTCCCGCATCGGACTCCCTGCTCAGCGGGAAGCCTGCTTCTCCCTCTCCTGCTCCCCCTGCTTGTGTTCCCTCTCTTGCTGTGTCTCTGTCAAATAAATAAATAAAATCTTTTTTAAAAAAAGAGAGATCTTCACATTGGCTCACAGAACAAAACCTAATTCATTGCTATTTACAAAAAAAAAAATACAACTATAACTAAGTGATTAAGACAGATCAAAAATAAAAGGCTGTTCTAAAGTATTCCGTGTAGATGCAAACCAAAAAAAAAAAAAAAAAAACAGACATCATATTTTTTTATCTAAGTATGTAAAATTCTGGCCTATTTGCATTAAACAACACTAAGAAGGACATTTAAATGCTATAGTGTGCAATTTCTCACGAAAGATATTACATTATAAATATATATGCACCAAATAATTGATATAGTAACCAAAAGGAATATGAAGAACTAAATAACATAACTAATGAGCTAACTCTAATTTATGTATATCAAACTGCAATGTCCCTTTTCAATAACAGAACTGATCTATTTGGGACAGCAGTGTGCCCAGCAAAAATACGACATCCCCAGATTTTCCTACATCTTGATATAGCCACATGACTAAGCTCCAATGAATAAGGTGGAAGAAGTATAGTGTGGAACTTCTGGGAAATCTCCCTAAGGAGAAATAGGCAGGCTCTTCCTCTCTTTCCTTATCCAGAAAACATGGATATGATGGCTCAAGCTTTAGCATCATCCCGGACCATGAAGACAAGGGCATGTAAAAAGTGAACATGAGGGGCGCCTGGGTGGCTCAGTTGGTTAAGCGACTGCCTTCGGCTCAGGTCATGATCCTGGAGTCCCGGGATGGAGTCCCACATCGGGCTCCCTGCTCAGCGGGGGGTCTGCTTCTCCCTCTGCCCTCTTCCCTCTCGTGCTCTCTGTCTCTCATTCTCTCTCTCTCAAATAAATAAATAAAATCTTAAAAAAAAAAAAAGTGAACATGAAACAACTTTGTAAAACCACCAAATTAGCCCTGGACTACCAAACTGTAGTTATGTATTTATGCTGTTATGGTTGGGTGTCTGCCAGACCCACCTGCACCTAGTTCTAATAGATATAAACCTGAAAGCAAACAATGTCCAAAGAACATTCACCAAAATTGATAATATATTTTAGGACATACACATACATAAGCCAAACTCAAGAAAACAGATGGAGGGATTAGCTTAAAACAGGAGAAGGGTCATCTCTTCCTCTTGAGACTAGGAGACCAGGTGCATATACAGGTAAGTGTGTAGATGTTGAGTAGAAGGTCAGCAGGTTCTCCCTGCCTCATCACCTCAATTTTCTCCTTGAACTAGGAGTCAGAAATGTTTCAAAGGTAGGGGGAGGAAGTAGAGGTTAAGGAGATTGGCATGTTTAGAATGCCACTAGGGGATAAGAGAGGAAGCTGAGAAGAAACAGGCAAGATTTTTGGTGTTGTTACTGTTGTTCTTCAGATCAAAGAAAAAATTTTCAAGTTTATGCCTCAAACCAGATCCCTGTGTATCAAGGACCAAAACCTCTCATTTTAGGAAGAAAGCAAAAACAAATTCCCCAATAAAGGTTAAAATGAATTCAAAATTAAACTAAACCGACAATTTAATCAAAAGTCCCTAAATGATGCCTCGAGGTGTGCCTCTTACTGATTTTTACAAATTAGTAAGTTAATGCTTATATATATGTATTTATATAAGTATATATATAAATATAAATTAAAACTTAAATATTTTTGTTGGTTTAATAGGAAAAAAGATGTTACAATAGTAACTAACAAGAAAAATATATCAACTCACCTAAGGATACTTTGTGAGACTTAAGAAAGCATCACCACCTGGTGGTAGATTCTCGGTAACAGCAATAAAAGAGGAAAGAAATGGATGGTCTCTGTCACTGACAATATATATTGTGAGAGACCAGAAGTTTTGACCAAAGCTAATGACCAAAAAAAGTAGTACTATAAGTACTTAGTTTCCAATTTCATAGGATAATAGAATTTTTTCTTTAGAAGGATGATCTAGAATCAAGATTTAAAACCTAATACAATATTCCATATAGTACAGAAATCCTGTCTATAAAATTCTTGAGTTGTGGTATATTGCCTCTGCTAAATATCTATAGCAATAATAAGATTATTCTCTGGACACTAGATTGTGAGCTGAAATTCGACATATTTTGTGTCCTTCATCCAGTAAATCTAATGTTGCAACCTGATGCAACATAGAAAAACCCTATGATATCTTCTACAGCCTGACTTCAAATATAGCTCTCTTATTTTGCTCTTTTCTATCACAAATACACCCTTTTCTTCAATTGACTTGATTTCTAGGCCCCTTACATCCTGGTCTTCCAGATTGTTCAGATACGCCTTGATTTGTCAAAGTCTATTTTTATTGCAATGCCTAAAATAGAACTGACTATTCCAGATGTAGCCTACCCAGCAGAATATAGGTGTTTCTTTTAATGTTACCCATGTTTCCCTGGCAGATTTTAATACCTGTGTCATACTTCAGCTCATACACTTTAGTCACAATTGTTCTTGAATAGCTCTATATTATTTGGTGACCAGAAAACTAAGTGTTGGGGTAGACAGAACAGATTTAAGGACCTACTCCTGAAAGTATATCCCTAACCTTGGCTAACTCTCTGTTCTACAAACTTCCACCATAAACCTAACGATAAGACAAAACAGGGGCAATAAAAGAATGCCTCCATGATCACCATAAAGAAGAGACACTAAAATATACGGTTTTTGACACGTTTTACTTCTCAGACCAGACTCCTGCTGGTGACAGCATCACACAGCAAGGGTCTCTATGCATCTCCCTGAACCGGAAGTTGGAAAACCAAGGACAGTGTAGCCTGTGTGGCAATATAATAAAGCAAACAATGGTGTTCTCAGTGGTAAAAGGTTATTGAGAATTTTTCCTAGGGTGTGTTTAGGCAAGGGACGTAGAGGTGAAACACTGTTTTGACAGCAGGAGCTTCTGCAGCAATATTAGAAGCTTCTGCAGACTTCTGTAGCAAATAGGTTCACACCACTTAGAGAAATGCCATTGGTAAGTCTAGACACATGTTTTGTTGTTGTTGTTGTCGTTTTTTAAGGAGATAGGATTTTATTGAATATACCACAAGGGAGCGGTGTAGACAGATGTTTAACACATATCGCTATTAAATATCTGGTAAGGAAGTGGATATTTATCATAACAAATTTTTTAATTTGACTTCTCATTCTCTTCACATTTCTCAGGATAACATATGTACGCATATGAACATATGATACAGATGTGACTCAAAACATTTTTACTATGAACACAGAAAAAGAAGCATTACATATATGTATTATTTCAGCTCTTATGTAAGTGGCTACATGTGGGAATCTATATGAAATAAACAGCATGTGAAAAAAAGATATTTTATGAGAAAGCAAATAATTCTTGACCAATTTATTTCTATGATTAAAATTTAGCTTTATCATTTTTGTTTTTATGTTTCAGGGACCTTGAAGGCAACCATATCCATAATTTAAGAAATTTGACTTTTATTTCCTGCAGTAATTTAACTGTTTTGTAAGTAGTGTTTTATCCTTTTGAAGTGATGTTAAATATCTTTACAAACAAAATTAATCATTTATGCGAACATAAGTTAGCATAAACATGCACAGTAATTATGGCAAATGTTCACTTATGACTTGAAGTTTTCTGAAACTGAAGTGCATTGGCAAAATTATTGAAGTTCACACCAAGCTTCATCAAGATTCACAACATGCATGGATCATCACAACAGTACTCTATGAGACCTGTTTTTCTCACACTTAAATAATGCCCATTTTAATGGAAAGAAATTTTCATTGACCACCTAAAATCTCTCCTTGGATATCAGTTTGAGAAACACTAAGTTAGTCTTAATCTGTAAGAATGTTTGCCCTTTGCAAATTATTACTGTAGAGATTGCAGAAAAAATTTAATTACAACCAAAATTTTTTAAAATACTGCAGAATGTCTACACCCCTGAAGATATAATTGTGGACACCAGGATAAACTTCAGAATGTTATTGAGTATGATTTCTCCTTACGTCTTTCTGGCCTATTTTAAACTCACACTGATTTTTCCATGAAAGCAAAGGATGCAGGAGCTTCTTTCAATATAAAAACACGACTGCCTCATTTATGGGTTATTCTTTCAGAACAGTGCTTTCCCAATTGTGAGTTGAAAGTCACAAGTGGGTGATGAAAGCAATATGGTGTCTTCTGACTTGCTTTTTTAATGAAACAAAGTTTAATTGAATTGAATAGAAATATCAGAGTGCAGTTCAGGTAATTAAATGTACTGTTTCTTGAGTCTCGGGTTCTGTGGGTGTATGTTATGTCCCAATGTTTTTAAGAGCAGTTACCAGGGGAAAACTTTGAAAACCACTATACTAGAATCCTTCTGGAAACATCCCAGAATCCATCTTGAAATCCGTACTAGAAACATAATACTAGGACCTCTGTGTACAGGCAATGCAATAGCTATCACTGATACAAGAAAAATTTTCCTCCAATATGCATCCCCCATTCCAATGAGTTCAAGCCACTAAGATGTTTGAATTCTTGCACAGTGAGCTCAGCAGTCTTCAGGTGCGGGATGCTTTATATCAGTCATGCAAAACAGTTCCTACTAACTGCCCAAAAGAAACCAAATTGCACCTGAAGGACATAGACCAAAACTTGCAACTTCTTTGCTGTTCTACTTTTATTTGTTCTTAAAGAAGCCTCTGTGTGAGGAAATCATTTGTGAGTTTCCTCTTGGCAGGGGCTTGTGCTTTTCTGGTCTAGGGATACTGGCAGGAGGTGGTAATGGTTTGGAGAGCAGAGAGAAAATAAATACTTCAAGATGGAACAAGGCTAACCTCTGAGAATATCACACATTTAAAGAATTGGAAACAGGGCGCCTGGGTGGCTCAGTTGGTTAAGCGATTGCCTTCGGCTCAGGTCATGGTCCTGGAGTCCCCGGATCGAGTCCCGCATCGGGCTCCCTGCTCGGCAGGGAGTCTGCTTCTCCCTTTGACCCTCCTCCCTCTCATTCTCTCTGTCTCAAATAAATAAATAAAATCTATAAAGAATTGGAAACATTTTAAGACATTTTTTAAAAAGATCTTATTTATTTACTTGTCGGAGAGAGAGAGCACAAGCAGGGGGAACTGCAGGTAGAGGGAGAAGATGGCTCCCCGCTGGGCAAACAACTCCATATAGGGCTCAATCCCAGGACGCTGGGATCGTGACCTGAGCCGAAGACAGACGCTTAACGGACTGAGCAACCCAGGCCACGGGATTTTAAAACTTTTCCATGAGTTACTCCTTTATGCTAGCTCATAATACATGAGATCAGTGCAGAAATGTACTGGTCAAGAAGTACATACAGTCTGTGGGGCAACTGGGTGGCTCAGTCCGTTAAGCATCTGTCTTCGGCTCAGGTCATGATCTCGGTCCTGGGATTGAGCCTGGAGTGGGGGCTCCCCGCTCAGCTGGGAGCCAGCTTGTGCACTCTCGCACTCTCTGTCAAATAAATAAACGAATCTTTAAAAAAAAAAAAAAAAGAATTACATACAGTCTGGTTCAACATCCCAAACTAGAGATCTTCTGAATTGGTCCAGTTTAGATTAGACATCCTTAGGCAACTGCACCCCAAGTCGCATCAGCTACCAGATGCATATGAGTGCTACTGTGCGCGTGCGCGCGGGGTTTCTGTTAGAGACGTGCTAGGCGGACTGAAGAAGAGGCGACTCTCTAATACAGCTCCCGGTGCATGAAATTCAGTCTGTATTCTCAAGGGTTCACATTTTCACTATTTCCCTTGCAGAGTTCTTCCCTACCTCACTTAAAAATTTGAATAATATTTTATTTTTATCATCGTTAAAAGACTTGAGAAATTTAAAACTAAAATTAGACTGGGTAAGTAACCATACTACAAAATACATGATGTGAAAATGCACTATATATAATTATCTTTTTTTTTTTCAGATTGTTAATCTTCCCTCCAAAAACTCATTTACCTCCTATCTCAAGGAGCCACAACATATTTTTCTTTTTACTTTCAGGGTAATGAGGAAAAACAAAATTAATCACCTAAATGAAAATACTTTTGCACCTCTCCAGAAGCTAGATGAATTGTAAGTTTGATAAGACTTTTGTTTCTACGGTTTTAGTTCAAACTTGTTACACATATATGCTTTTATACATCTGAGAAACATTTATCTCTTTTCCTAGCATTATTTGTATGTACTTTGAGCCATAAATGAACTCTATATAGCTTACAAAAATACACATTAATATATATATATATAATAACTACTTGAGGAAAATGAGATAAAGGAAACACAGCTACAAAGAAATAATAAAGTCAGGGTAAATTTAATAAATAAAATACATCCTACATCACTCTGTCCCACTGCTAGAGAGGAACAGCATATTTGTTTTTAAGTTTCTTAAAGAGTTAGGATTCAGAGACTATAAGATAAAAAGACATACTTTGCTAATTCTGGAAATAAAAGATAATCTTGGATCCACAAAGAAATTAGACATCCTTGGATAACATGCCAACCTATAATAATGGAAGAGAGACATAAGTTAAATCAATTGTCTACACTGTCCTTTTTTTCAGATCAGTGACCCAGTTCCAAAGGGCATTAAAACAACGCTCTGATAAACCAAAGCTTTGTGGCCCGAGCACATAGTAGCTGATTATCAGAATAAAATATATGTTGGGCAATGGATGAAGTACATGTCCTTCAGACAATTTTTTTATGTTTTACTATTAATTTTCTCAATTGGATTTTGCTAAAGTTTGGACTAGCCACTACAGTCGACCCTTGAACAACTTGGGTTTGAACTGTGCAAAAATTAAGGCTCCAAATCATAGTCCTACTCTAATGTAAAAGGAAGAAGGGAATGAAGGGAAGGGGAAAAGAGGCACAACACATGCATTAATTAAATTAGAAAATAGAAAAATATCAGCGAGCATTTGTCTCTGAAGAAGTGATGAAATGGGATAAATTATTTTTATATTTTACCATTACACTCGCTTTTCTAAAACTTTTAGACTTCTGGTAATTAGTGTAACTCACTAACAGCACTGTTAAAAAGTTGTATAATCATTTCCTAACAAATTACAGAACAATGAATAAAGTCTTAAGAAACTGATATGACATGGTTGCAATTATTTCCCTAGGGATTTAGGAAGTAATAAGATTGAAAATCTTCCACTGCAAGTATTTAAGGATCTGAAGGAGCTCTCACAATTGTAAGACTGATACTAATTTTGTCGTTTCACTTCTTTATTTGTTTTAATGTCTTTTATCTTTTAAATTGTAATAACATACATAACACAAAATTTAGCATTTTAACCATTTTAAACGTACAGTTCAGTGATATTAAGTACATTCATGTTGTACAACCATCTCCACCATCCATCTCCAGAACTTTTTCATCCTCCCAAACTGAAACTCCATACCTATTAAACAATATCTCCTCATCACCTCCCCTGACCAGCATCTCTGTTCTGTTTTTATTAATTTGACTACTCTAGGTACCCCATATAGATGGAATCATTCAATAGTTGACCTTTTGTGACTGGCTTATTTCACTTAGCATAATGTCTTCAAGGTGCATACGTTTTGTAGCATGTGTCAGAATTTCTGGATATTATTCTGAATAATAGCATTAATTCATAATATTATTCTGAATAGTAATTCACTATATATATAATGTGACATATATATGTCACATTGTGTTTATCCATTCATCCATTAATGGACACTTGGGTTCCTTCCACCTTTTAGCTATTGTGAGTAATGCTATGAACATGGGTGTACAAATATCTGTTTGAGACCTTTCTTTCAATCCTTTTCAGTATATAGCCCCAGAAGTAAAATTGCTGGATCATACGGTAATTCCATGTTAACTCTTTGAGGAAACAGCACACTGATTTCCAAGCAGCTACACCATTTCACAATCCTACTAGCAGTGCATGGGTGTTCCAATTTCTCTACATCTTCAACAACACTTGTTCTTTTCTATTTGGGGGGGTTATATTCATCCTAATGGATGTGAAAGTCATTGTGGTTTTGATTTGCATTTCCCTAATGGTTAATGATGTTGAACATCTTTTCATGTGCTTATTGGCCATATATCTTCTTTGGAGAAGTGTCTATTCAAGTCTTTTGCCCATCTTTTTAATTGGGTTGATTTCTGTTGTTGAATTGTAGGAATTCTTTATATATTTTAGATATTAGATCCTTTTCAGATATATGATTTGCAAGTATTTTCTTCTATTCGGTAAATGGCCCTTACACTGTTGATAGTCTCCTTTGACATACAAAAGGTTTTAATTTACGTGTAGTCAAATTTTTCTATTTTGTTGTCATTGCCTATGCTTTTGGTGTTGTATACAAGAAATCATTGCTTAATCCGGTGCCCTGAAGCTTTTCCCCTATGTTTTTTTCCTAAGAGTTTTATAGTTGTAGCTTTTATATTTAGGTCTTTGATCCATTTTGTGTTAATTTTATACATGATGTAAGGTAAGTTCTAAGTTCATTCTTTTGTATGTGGATAGTAATCTGGTTTTCCCAGCTCCATTTGTTGAAAAGACTGTCCTTTCCCCCACTGAACAGTCTTGACACCATATATACAAGGGTTTATTCCTGTGCTCTCTATCCTATTCCATTGGCCTATATACTTGTCTTTGTAACAGTACTACCTGGTACTGATTACTGTAGCTTTGTAATAAGTTTTGAAATTAGGAAGTGTTAAGCCTCCAGCCTTGTTCTTTTTCAAAATTGTTTTAGCTATTCAAGCTCCTGTGAGATTCCATGCAAATTTCAAAATGGATTTTTCTCTCTATGCCAAAAGTATTAGGACTGCGACAGAGATTGCACTGAATCAATGGGTCACTTTGGGGAGTATTGACAATTTTTTTTTTCAACATGTATTTATTTATTTTAGAAAGAGAGCACGGGAGTGGAGGGGAGGGCAGAGGGAGAGAGAGAATCTTAAGCAGACTCTGCACTCAGTGTGGAGCCAGACCTGGGGCTCAATCACAGGAGCCCAAGATCACAGCCCTGAGATCAAGACCTGAGCCAAAACCAAGAGTTGGATGCATAACTGACTGCACCACCCAGGTGACCCAGGGAGTTTGACATCTTGACAACATTAAGTCTGCTAATCCATAAACGTACAGTGTCTTTTCAAATTTCTTTTGGCAACATTTTATTTTCAAACACAAGTCTTTCACTTCCTTGGTTAAGTTTATTCCTAAATATTTGATTCTGTTGATGCTATTGTAAATCGAATTACCTTTTGCATTTCCGTTTTGGATTGTTCATTGTTAGTGTATAAAAACACATTCAATTTTTGTGGAGTGGTTTTGTATTTGGCAACTTTGCTGCATTTAGTTATAAGTTCTAACAATTCTGTGTGTGTGTGAAATCTTTAGGGTTTTCTACATACAGTATTATGTCATACGTGAACAGAGATAATTTTACTTCTCCCTTTCAAATTTGAATGCCTTTTTTTTTTCCTTGCCTAATTACTCTGGCCAGACTTCCAATACTATGTTGAATAGAAGCAAAAGTGGTCATCCTGGTCTCGTTACTGATTTTGGAGGAAAAGCTTTCAGCCTTACACCATTGAGGATGATGTTAGCTGTGGGCTTTTCATATATGGCCAGTATTGTGTTCAGATAGTTTCCTTCTAGTCCTAGACTGTTGAGTCCACTTTGTTTCTTTATACAACTCAATTTTCATTGTCATTCTTCCACTCTTTCTACAATCACTGCCTCCCAGAAGCTTCCCCACCTAACTAACGATCTAAACTAGAATAAATTTCTCTAAGAGAATTTGCCCTGAGAAGCTCCCTTTAATCAATGATTTTTGTCTCAAGGTTTTTTTTTTTACAAAGATTCTGAAATTCTTTTCTATCGAAATTGAGCTGCACTGTAACTCTGGTCTCTATCTCTTTGTTCCCAGCTATAGCCTTTTACTTTTCATTTCATGCCTCACAAATCATTAGCACGAATGTCACTCTTTGGCATAAGATTTATTGTAAAAAGTATTCAGGGTGATTCTATCAGTTCAAATTTTGACAAAATGAGATTGTTTTTCATTTAACTAAATGAGATCTTAAGCAAAAGGTGAGGTATGTGCGGTTTCTTGCAGAGCACCCTACTGTGTCTATGGTGAGAGCCATTTCTTGACAAGTCCACTTTCATTCTTAGGTTGTCTTAGCTCCCACTCACTAATAAAATCATAGTGTTAATTAAGAGCCAGGCACAATTCTAGGTGTTTTATCTCCATTAATTCATTTAAATATTTGATGAACTCTGTAAGGCAAGTGTTGTTACTACACTTTTTTTGTTAATGTTTAAAAGTAATCCAGTCAACAGATAACACTGTCTCTTTACTTAAGCAGTTTCTAGAAATGACCTATTGCTGCCTTTTTTTTAAAAACAGGAATCTTTCCTATAACCCAATCCAGAAAATTCAAGCAGATCAATTTGATTATCTTGTCAAACTCAAGTCTCTGTAAGTATATACCTATGGGGATAGTTTTACGATGAAATTGTTATTTATAAACTAATAGCTAATAAATTTTATAAAATAAAATGTATACAATCTTTCAAATCGGAAGCTTTATTCCCAGGATATGAGTTAAACACCATGAAACCATATGAGTGCTCACTAGACTATGAACAAACAGTTTTACCTTACAAGTTTATAAACTAAAAATCAGATAATGATTTTATATTTTTCTGTAATCACCATGAGCTTATATTAGATTGTTTGCTTTGATCTTCTGAAGGCAACTCTGCATATTCATTTCTCCATTAGCACTGGTATCTAGGATTTTATTATAGCCATCGTTATCCCAAAGATGCAATATTCTAGATTAGATAAATCAGTACTTACACCACACACACACACACACACACACACACACACACACACACAAATCTGTTATGGTCTAAGAATTGCCTTTAAAAGATAAGCTTCAGTTCATTTAATTTAAATGTTCTCTCAGTAAAATGGCATCTTATTAGAAAAAAATATATTATCTAAAAATTATTAGAAAAATGTCAAACCTCTCTGCTATTGTAATATTATCTAAAAGATCATGTGTGTTCATTTATTCCACAAACCCTTATTGAGTAGTTACTATGCACAAAGCATGTGTTATGACCTATAAGGATCAAAAAAATTCAAATAGAGGAGATATTTGTGTAAAAATGTCAGAATCAAGAAAGAGTTGGGGAAGTAAGTGCATAGGGCAGGCTGAGTATTAACGTTTGGTTCACAATCAGTGTTAACTGACAGCATTTTATTTAACTGTCCTTCACAAAAACTCGTTTTATTGCACCCTTGTGATATATGTTATTTTGATAATTAATTTGATATTTTTAGCAGCCTGGAAGGAATTGAAATTTCAAATATCCAACACAGGATGTTTAGACCTCTAATGAATCTCTCTCACATGTAAGCAGATGTTTTTCTTGTTTTTCACCTTGATTTCAATCTTATGTTTCCACGTGCACAGTGCTAATATGCCCATACCCAATGCATCCAATCTATCAAATTTTCCGCCGACTCATTTGCCTAAACAATATTATTCTTGAAGTGTTGCTATTGGGTGGGATGGTTTTTAGTGTTCCATGGTTTGGTAGAATCAAAGGTGATTTTTTCAATGTCAGAGAACATGAGTGTGGAGAGAACACACTCAGTCTTATAAGCTCTCCTTAGCACTGATACCATTCATACATAGTGATATTTGTCTGATGAGCTAGTAATTCACACACATGGTCTAAGTGTTACCAGGTGAAGAAATAGGAACTTATATAAGCAACACAAAATAATTGTAAATAAATAATTGCTGTAAATGAGGAAAGTATGGAGAAATCCTCAGTAAAAATTGCCGCCAATGTCAGGACAGGATTGGAGCAAGTGTGTATGGATAAAATGGCAAGCTTTGAAAAATCTTTTATTCAAACAGTGTGTATTATGGTACCATTGATTCCATGCTTTGGAAACATTTTTCTTTAATTGAATGCAGTCTTACAGCAGAGATTAGAATGATCTCCGTGCCAGGGTAATTAAGTGTCGACAATTTAGAAAGTGTCATGTCAGCCAACATCACTCTATAATTTTGCTTATATTTTAAGTCTAACGCAGGACATTCTTTTGTTTTCCATAACTCTTCAGAGAGATGCTTATAAAAGTTTCTTTAATTGCACACAACACATACCACTCGAACTAGTGTAAGCCAAACATAGTTTATTGGGAGAAAATGGTATAGCTCATAAAACCCAAGAAACAACTCAAGGAACAGACTTGAATTGGGCAGAAACCATATCAGATCTAAGGAATTCAGGCAGCAAGAGTTAAAAACAGGACAATATACTGTAATTGTCAAGGTTTTATCTTATATTACTCCAGCTCTCTATACTATAATGATCATTTATAATTTTTGCCAGAGTACATAGCGTTAGAGGCAAATAGATCTAATTTGATCTCCAATTGCTACATTTATTAGAAAATTTCATAGCAAATAATTTGCCTCCACTGAAGATTCATCTCCTCCTATGGTGATGCTAATACCTTGCTCATGGAGTTGATTTGAGAATTGATTCCTGATACCTAGAAGATGCTCAATAAATGGTGTTGGTGTTGCTGGTAAGACAGTAGCCATTACTGGTTATCTGGGTAGTGTCTTCATCAACACAAGAGGTCTCTCTATTGATGAAAAAATTAGCTCAACAAATATTTATTGAACACCTTATTACGTACCAAAATCTGGTCGAGAGATAAGCATGTGAACAGGCAGGTTCAGCTCACATAATAACTTCTATAATAGAAAAGCCTCGGAAGCCAGAGGAGAAAACATTTGGCTTCCTCTTCCCCAGAGGGCTGAAAAGATTAGATGAAGCAACAGTAGGAGCTACATAAACACTAAAAATCCAATAAAAGTTCCCTTAGATGGATTAATTCTCTTGATCCCATGCTAATGGTTTATTTATGTTTTGAGGCATGTCGCACACTTGTATATTCATGATGCCTATTTGCTGCTCTGATCCACATATTCTTTTGCAGTGAAATCAAGTTCACAAGAATTAAAATGTAAACCTTTAGTATCCTTAATGTTTTACATGACTGTGAGCCTCATATTAAGACATTTTCTTTCTACTGAGAAAATGTAGAAAAGAAATATGAATGTATAGTGACACTGAATTAAATTTAAAATCTTATTTAACTTTCTCTTTGTGCATCAGATATTTTAAGAAATTCCAGTACTGTGGGTATGCACCCCATGTTCGCAGCTGTAAACCAAACACTGATGGGATCTCATCTCTAGAAAACCTCTTGGCAAACATTATTCAGAGAGTGTTTGTCTGGGTTGTATCTGCAGTTACATGCTTTGGAAACATCTTTGTCATTTGTATGAGACCTTATATCAGGTCTGAGAACAAGCTACATGCCATGTCAATCATTTCTCTCTGCTGTGAGTATTTCCTGATTGAAGAAGAATTATAGTTTTGAAATACATAAAAGCACTGGTATTAAAAATAAGTAAACAGAGTGGTAGAATTACAAGATTTTACATTTTTCTCCTTTTTGCTTATATGTTGTTTTCACATTCACTGTAATGAAAATAAAATGACTTTGGTGAGAAGGAAAATAAGTATTTGAAACAGGAAAATTCAGTTACCTTACACAGATTAATGAAGGTCTTGTTTATTAGTTTTGTCTCATAAAAAATATCTCGTTCATTAGTTTTCTTTGAAGGCATGTTTTGTTAAAGCATATAAACTCTTCTACTATGAATAAAATGGCAACTTTTCACGGTCATATTTTTACACTCAGAATTGTATTTACTTTTTTGTTTGCATGTCTGGATCATAGATATTGACTTAACTGATAGCTGTTTTTCTGGTTTCTGTGCTACTAAAATCTCTTCCATTCGTAATTTGAAATATTTGAATAAGAAAATGTTTTTACATAGTATTAAATTTTTTTTAAGTTTTTGAAATGTGACTGCCAAGTACTGTGTTAAATGAGGACTACAAAGAAAAATAAGCAAGAAATAAGCAAGTGGTCAGGCTGTTCATAGTGTCAAGTGGCCTACAATGTATTCATACTTTCTCCAGCAAGTATCAATCTACATGATGTTTTGCTTCATGTGTGCTGTCCATGTCTTCCCCCCAGACTCATTCAAAGTCTAATGTTTGTTTTATTCATTGCAAACTACCTAAGAAATAGAAGTCAGAAATTAGTTACTACTTTGTATTGTTAATTACAAAATTTTGAGTATGCTCAATTTCTCTGATGAAGGCTAGAATATCACTTCAGTGTTTAAGGATTAGGGACAGCTTTATGATTTATACAGTGATGTGATTTCAGAAACCTTGTGTAGATTGCCTGTGTAGTCAAAAAATCTCACCTACTCTCTGATATGAAATGTTTGCTTAAAAAGCAAAATCACCAAATAGTGCATCACATTAACAACTGATTTTGGGGATGGGGGAGCCTAAAAAGAGACCGAGAAAGATGTAAAAATGGGAAGAGAGAATCAAAGAGAACAGGTTTGCTTAGACCAGCTCTGGGTAAATAACTTAAGCTCTTCAAAATTATACTGACTATAGAGCACTTTTTTTTTTTTTAAGATTTTATTTATTTATTTATTTATTTATATGAGAGAGAGAGCAAGAGAGCACAAGCAGGGGGAGTGGTAGAGGAGAGGGAGAAGCAGGTTCCCCGGTGAACAGCGAGCCCCATGTGGGGCTCTATCTTACCACCCAGGGATCATGACCTGAACTGAAGGCAGATGCTTAACTGACTGAGCCACCCAGGTGCCCCTATAGAGCTCTTCTTAATTATGCATATCATCTAAATTATAGACCCCCAAATTCATAGTCATTAGTCTATCACAACAACTTCTGAATTATTTTCTCTAGGATTTTGGTTGATATCCTTAGCTTGTTAAGCTAGGAGCATATTTCAGCAGAAGAGGTGATCCAAATAATAACATCCCTATATTGGTCCCTAATCGAATGCTCAACATAATTGCATTTTTTTAAAGATTTTATTTATTTATTTGAGACAGTGTGAGCACAAGCAGGAGGAGTGGCAGGCAGAGGGAGAAGCAGACTCCCCACTGAGCAGGGAGCCTGACTCTGGGCTCAATCCCAGGACCTCGGGATCATGACCTGAGCTGAAGGCAGACACCTAACCGACTGAGCTACCCAGGCGCCCCTCAACATAATTGCATTTTATCCATTTACTCAACAACACCTCTAGGTGATGAGACCAGAATGGAAAACAAAACAGACAAAATCCCTGCTCACACAGACTTGAAAATTTTAAAAAACAGAGGAAATAATTACATAATTAGCTATAGAGGGTGCTATAAGAGTGGTTTTTGAAGACAGTTGCTGAAGAGGTCCTTACCCATAAATGAACTGTTAGAATAAAAGTACCTCCTCCTAAGATGGAAGTAAATTAGGCATTTTTTGCTAATACTAAAAATATTACCAGTTATTGTTAATTCCATTATACCTATTTATTTCTCTAAATTTGCAACATCTACTGATCCTATAGGTGCTGACTGCCTAATGGGAATATATCTGTTTCTGATCGGAGCCTTTGACCTAAAGTTTCGTGGAGAATACAACAAGCATGCGCAGCTGTGGATGGAGAGTATTCACTGTCAGCTTGTGGGATCTTTGGCCATTCTGTCCACTGAAGTATCAGTGTTACTGCTAACATTTCTGACACTGGAAAAATATATCTGCATTGTCTATCCATTTCGGTGTTTAAGACCTAGAAAATGCAGAACAATTACAGTTCTGATTCTCATTTGGATTACTGGGTTTATAGTGGCTCTCATTCCATTGACCAATAAGGAATTTTTCAAAAACTACTATGGCACCAATGGAGTGTGTTTCCCTCTTCATTCAGAAGATACCGGAAGTACTGGAGCCCAGATTTATTCAGTGACAATTTTTCTTGGTGAGAAACCCTGGATTATAAGTCCTTTTATTTAATGACTAGAATAAATCATAATGTCAGTCTCATTATTTCTTCTAATGTTTATAAATTTTTATTTCAGATCTTCTAACCAGTTTTTCTCACTGACATTGGGACGAATTCTGTCAGAATATCCCTAAAGGGATTTTTTTGCCCTGAATTACCACTTTATCATATAAATTCCAACATACTCCTTAATAAAAGACAAAACAGTAAATACTTGTATTTTGGGCAGTCACCCTAATAATACTAAATAAAACATATTTTAACCCTTTGCACTTATAATATGAACAAATTCAAAATAGCCACACAAGTCTTTGCCTTGAAAATAGACATACAAGTGTTTTTCTCTTGTAAAAAATATTCTCGGGGGGAGGGTAAAGAAAAAAAAAATATATATATATATTCTCAAAGTATAACTTAAACTAATTGAATGATTTAAAAAACCTATAAAGATTAATTTAAAAGACCCAGGATATTCACTGAATCACTATAATCTCATTTTAATATGCCATTTTTAAATTAAAATTCCCTTATTCCTCATTAGTTCAACATTACTTCAAATTTTTAAAAAATTCATTATTTTTGTGTACCTTAGTAATTCTTATGAAGAACAAAAAAACATATTCATGTTCAAACAGCTAAGAGTGTGTGTGTTTGTTTTGAAAGGATGCTAATACACATCAATAATAATCTTTACGTTCTAAACAGGTGTTAACTTGGCGGCATTTATCATCATAGTTTTTTCCTATGGAAGCATGTTTTACAGCGTTCATCAAAGTGCCATAACAGCAACTGAAATACGGAATCAAGTTAAAAAAGAAATGATCCTTGCGAAACGGTTTTTCTTTATTGTATTTACTGATGCATTATGCTGGATACCCATTTTTGTACTGAAATTTCTTTCATTGCTTCAGGTAGAAATACCAGGTACAACTTTTTTTTCTTTCTGTAAAAAATTAATAAGTCTGTCTCTGCAGTGTTCCTCTAAGAAAGAAAATTAAGATCCTTAACACCAACTCATTTTAAGAATTGTAAGTCAGAGTTACACGTACTTCAGGCTCTGTTCATCAATCAAAAGTTTACTGGGAGGGGGCGCCTGGGTGGCTCAGTTGGTTAAGCGACTGCCTTCGGCTCAGGTCATGATCCTGGAGTCCCTGGATCGAGTCCCACGTCGGGCTCCCTGCTCAGCAGGGAGTCTGCCTCTCTCTCTGACCCTCCCCCCTCTCATGCTCTCTGTCTCATTCTCTCTCTCAAATAAATAAATAAAATCTTCAAAAAAAAAAAAAGTTTACTGGGAGGAAACTGTTCAGTTATTTCCATAAATGCCTAAAGCACAATTATTATTGGAACAAAGTAACGACTCAAATAAATAACACTCTGTGTTTTGTAATTCTGATAATGTCATGCTTAAGATGACCAAACAGGTAAAAATGACTATCAAATATTTACTTCATTTTTTTTCTTTTTTTACTTCATTTTTTTTGAGAACATAAGACATTTTTCTTCCCAGATTGCATAGCAATTTATTTATTTATTTATTTATTTTAAAGATTTTATTTGTTTATTTGAGAGAGAGAGAATGAGAGACAGAAAGCACATGAGAGGGGGGAGGGCCAGAGGCAGAAGCAGGCTCCCTGCCAAGCAGGGAGCCCGATGTGGGACTTGATCCAGGGACTCCAGGATCATGACCTGAGCCGAAGGCAGTCGCTTAACCAACTGAGCCACCCAGGCGCCCTCCATAGCAGTTTAGAGAACATTACCCCAGAGTGTGAGGGATGATTGAAGAATGCATTCTTGGTATTTAAAAATAATGTACATCACACTCATTAGGATAGCTACTATCAAAAACACAAAAAATTAAAAAAAAATAAAAAAAATAAAAACACAAAAAATAACACAAACTGGTGAGGATTTGGAGAGATTGTAGCTCTTGTGCATCACTGGTAGGAATGCAAAATAGCACAGCTGCTATAGAAAACAGCATGGTGGTTCCTCAAAAAATTAAACATAGAAATACCATATGACCCAACAATTCCAATTCTGGTAATTAAAGGAACTAAAAGCAAGAACTCAAACAGACATTGGTACACCCAGGTTCATAGCAGCATTATTCACGATAGCCAAAAGCTGGAAGTAACCCAAGTGTCCATCGATGGATGCATGGATAAACAAAGTGTGTTATACACACAAAATGGTTTATTACTCAGCTTTATAAAGGCAGGAAATTCTGAAACATGGTACGACATGGATGGACCTTGAAGACATCATGCTAAGGGAAATATGCCCATCGCAAAAGGAAAATACGGTGTGATTCCACTGTATGAGGTAACCAGAGTAGTCGAATTCATAGAGACAGAAAGTTTGTGAATGTGTTGTCAGGGGTTGGGAGGAGAGGGGGTGAAAAGTTATTGTTTAATAGGTATGGAGTTTCCAGTGGGGAAGATGAAAAAGTTCTGGAGATGGACGGTGGTGATGGTTGCCCAACACTATGAATGTACTTATTGCCACTGAATGGCACGCTTAAAAATGATTAAAATGGTAAATTTTATGTTATGTATATTTTATCACAATAAAAAATGTGCAAAATGCTGTTAATTATAAGTATAGTGCAGTATATATTCACATTTTTAAAAGTTATAAACATACAATTTTAATTTTGTTTTATCCTATGGTTGGTGGTAATAGTATCTTACATTTTATAAACAACAAAGAAGGAAAATAGCATCAATTAAATTATAACAACAAATCTGAACTTTTGGTAGTTACCTATGTACTACAGTGATTTTTTTTTTCATTTTCTTTTTTTTTTTATTCTTATGTTAATCCCCATACATTACATCATTAGTTTTAGATGAAGTGTTCCATGATTCATTGTTTGTGCATAACACCCAGTG